TGAACTACATACTAACCCACAGAGACCTTCCTATCAAGAGTACAAAAAGAAGGATTCTAGGTGGACTCCTCCTGAAGGTCAAAACAGCAGACTGGTCTTCTACATAGAGTGCTTTCGCCGATGTGCACAGGCTGAAATTGTGGAAAAGCAGCATCACTTGCCCCATAACCTCAGCCGTGCAGAACACAATGCCATCCACAGCCTCAGAAACAACTCTGACATCATAATCAAAAAGGCTGCCAAAGGAGGTGCTGTCATCATCATGAATAGGTCGGAATATGAACAAGAGGCTGGTAGGCAGCTCTCCAACACCACTTTCTACAAGCCATTACCCTCTGATCCCCACTGAGGGTTACCAAAAGAAACTACACCATTTCCTCAAGAAACTCCCTGAAAAAGCACAAGAACAATAGACATACCCCTGGAACCCTGACCTGGGGTATTCTATCTGCTACCCAAGATCCATAAACCTGGAAATCCTGGATGCCCCATCATCTCAGGCATTGGCACCCTGACAGCAGGATTGTCTGGCTATGTAGACTCCCTCCTCAGGCCCTATGCTACTACCACTCCTAGCTATCTTCGAGACACCACTGACTTCCTGAGGAAACTACAATCCATCAGTGATCTACCTGAAAACACCATCCTGGCCACGATGGATGTAGAAGCCCTCTACACCAACATTCCACACAAAGATGGACTACAAGCCGTGAAGAACAGTATCCCCGATAATGTCACAGCAAACCTGGTGGCTGAACTTTGTGACTTTGTCCTCACCCATAACTATTTCACATTTGGGGACAATGTATACCTTCAAATCAGCAGCACTGCTATGGGTACCCGCATGGCCCCACAGTGTGCCAACATTTTTATGGCGGACTTAGAACAACGCTTCCTCAGCTCTCGTCCCCTAATGCCCCTACTCTACTTGCGCTACGTTGATGACATCTTCATCATCTGGACCCATGGAAAAGAAGCCCTTGAGGAATTCCACCATGATTTCAACAATTTCCATCCCACCATCAACCTCAGCCTGGACCAGTCCACACAAGCGATCCACTTCCTGGACACTATGGTGCTAATAAGCGATGGTCACATAAACACCACCCTATATCGGAAACCTACTGACCACTATTCCTACCTACATACCTCCAGCTTTCATCCAGACCACACCACATGATCCATCGTCTACATCCAAGCTCTACGATACAACCACATTTGCTCCAACCCCTCAGACAGAGACAAACACCTACAAGATCTCTATCAAGCATTCTTACAACTACAATACCCACCTGCTGAAGTGAAGAAACAGATTGATAGAGCCAGAAGAGTACCCAGAAGACACCTACTACAGGACAGGCCTAACAAAGAAAATAACAGAACACCACTAGCTGTCACCTTCAGCCCCCAACTAAAACCTCCCCAACGCATCATCAAGGATCTACAACCTATCCTGAAGGACGACCCATTGCTCTCACAGATCCTGGGAGACAGGCCAGTCCTTGCTTACAGACAGCCGCACAACCTGAAGCAAATACTCACCAGCAACCACACACCACACAACAGAATCACTCACCCAGGAACCTATCCTTGCAACAAAGCCCGTTGCCAACTGTGTCCACATATCTATTCAGGGGACACCATCATAGGGCCTAATCACATCAGCCACATTATCAGAGGCTCGTTCACCTGCACATCTACCAATGTGACATATGCCATCATGTGCCAGCAATGCCCCTCTGCCATGTATATTGGTCAAACTGGACAGTCTCTATGTAAAAGAATAAATGGACACAAATCAGATGTCAAGAATTATAACATTCATAAACCAGTCGGAGAACACTTCAATCTCTCTGGTCATGCGATTACAGACATGAAAGTTGCGATATTACAACAAAAAAACTTCAAATCCAGACTCCAGTGAGAAACTGTTGAATTGGAATTCATTTGCAAATTGGAGACAATTAACTTAGGCTTGAATAGAGACTGGGAGTGGATGGGTCATTACACAAAGTAAAACTATTTCCCCATATTTATCCCCCCGTTCCTCAGACGTTCTTGTCAACTGCTGGAAATGGCCCACCTTGATTATCACTACAAAAGGTTCCCCCCACCCCCCGCTCTCCTGCTGGTAATACAAATACATTGGTGAGGCCTCATCTGGAGTACTGTGTCCAGTTTTGGGCCCCACACTTCAAGAAGGATGTGGATAAATTGGAGAGAGTCCAGCGAAGGGCAACAAAAATGATTCGGGGACTGGAACACATGAGTTATGAGGAGAGGCTGAGGGAGCTGGGATTGTTTAGCCTGCAGAAGAGAAGAATGAGGGGGGATTTGATAGCTGCTTTCAACTACCTGAAAGGGGGTTCCAAAGAGGATGGCTCCAGACTGTTCTCAATGGTAGCAGATGACAGAACGAGGAGTAATGGTCTCAAGTTGCAGTGGGGGAGGTTTAGATTGGATATTAGGAAAAACTTTTTCACTAAGAGGGTGGTGAAACACTGGAATGCGTTACCTAGGGAGGTGGTAGAATCTCCTTCATAGATTCATAGAATATCAGAGTTGGAAGGGACCTCAGGAGGTCATCTAGTCCAACCCCTTACTCAAAGCAGGACCAATCCCCAATTTTGCCCCAGAACCCTAAATGGCCCCCTTGAGGATTGAACTCACAACCCTGGGTTTAGTAGGCTAATGCTCAAACCACTGAGCTATCCCTCCCCCCTTAGAGGTTCTTCCTTAGAGGTTTTTAAGGTCAGGCTTGACAAAGCCCTGGCTGGGATGATTTAACTGGGAATTGGTCCTGCTTCGAGCAGGGGGTTGGACTAGATGACCTTCTGGGGTCCCTTCCAACCCTTATATTCTATGATTCTATGATTCTAATAGCTCACCTTACCTGATCACTCTACTTAGTGTGTATGGTTACACCCATTGTTTCATGTTCTGTGTGTATATAAATCTCCCCACTGTATTTTCCACTGAATGCATCCGATGAAGTGAGCTGTAGCTCACGAAAGCTTGTGCCCAAATAAATTTGTTAGTCTCCAAGGTGCCACAAGTCCTCCTGTTCTTTTTGCGGATACAGACTTACACGGCTGCTTCTCTGAACCTGTCAAAATATAACAGTGATAGCAGGGGTGCGAGTTATATCTCCACGTGGTGCCTTGGCACCAGCAATATTCAGAGCCCAGTGGCCCAGCTCCACCCATATTTGGGGCCAGGTGTCCCCCCCCGCACCTGCTGCCCCCGACCCCCGGGCCCTGGAGCAGCGCGTCCCTGCCTCTGCCCTGCAGTTCCATGCTGCCTCCCTGCAGCAACTGCTGCCGCAGGGTCCTAGTACCCCGCACTCCGTTGCCAGGGCAGACTGACGCTGAGCCTGCCCTTCCACCTCAGACCCTTCCCTTTTCCGGTGGGACCCTCCACCAGCAAAGGGGGCCCCCCCCGCCCGCAGTCACCGCTCCTGCCTCACGCTGGGCAAGGGGCAGCCCCATCCCTCACCCCCAGTGAGGCTACAGGCAGGGGCAACAGCAGGGGAGGAGGTGCATTCAGCTCCCCCCGGCACCCACCACGGGGGAGGCAAGAGAGATTCCTGGGCCTGAGAGGGGCCCTAGGACCACATGCACTGACAGTGGTGGGGGGGAGTGTGCTGCTCGGGGGGCGGGAAAGGGGGGCTCCTCCCCCAGAGCTCGCTGCTGCCTTCAGGGAAAGGGCTGGGGGGAGTCGTCCTCTCTGGCCCCTGTCCCAGAGCAGCTTGCCTGAACACCAAACTTATCCCCAGCCGTGCCCCACCCCAGAGCCCACACCCCCCAGCCAAAGCTTTCAGCCCCCCCACCGCACCCTCAACCCTCTACCCTAGCCCTGAGCCCCTCCCACACCCCAAACACCTTATCCCCAGTCCCAGACAGAGCCCTCATCCCCCTGCACCCCAACCCTCTGCCCCAGCCCTGAGCCCCCTCCAACATCACAAACCCCTCATCTCCAGCCCCAGACAGAGCCCTCATCCCCCTGCACTCCAACCCTCTGCCCCAGCCCTGAGCCTTTCTAACCCCCAAACCCTCCAGCCACAGACAGAGCCCTCACCCCCACACTCCTACTCTCACCCTGAGCCCCTCCCACACCCCAAACTCCTTATTCCTAGCTCCAGAGCCCTCACCCCTACACCCCTACTCTTGTCCAGAGCCCATCCCATACCCCAAACCTCTCATCTGCAGCCACACCCCACAGCTTTCACCTCTGCACTCCCTCCCATCCCCAAACTCCCTCCCAGAACCTGCACCCCCTCCCTCCACACCCACTCCCTCCCAGAGCCTGCACCCCAATCCCCTGCTCCAGCCTAGGGCCTGCACCCCAGACCTCCTCCTCCACCCAAACTCCCTCCCAGAGCCTTGGGCAGGTGGGGGGAGGAGTTTGGGCGGGGGCGGGTTCTGGGCACCACCAAAATTTCTACAAACCTGCCACCCCTGAGTGATAAGTCTCTGGGTTAGCAGTCCTCCTGCTTCCTGGCATAAAGCTGACCAGACATCAGGAAGTAATATAGGAAAATACCAGGAAGGTGGAGCAAAAATAGCTTTACTGAAGTCAAGGCTAGAAGGATCCCAGTCAGCAAAGAAGCCCCATTACCTCCAGTGCTTACAGTTAAGCATGTGCTTAAGTGCTGACTAGGGTTGGATTGAAGCATGTGCTGAAGTGCTTTGCTGAGTGCGGGCCTTAGGCTTGCTGGAAGTCAGCCCGGTTTCTGGCTTTGCTAGGTAAGCCCCTTTCCTCAGGTGGTCTCTCTGTCACTTGTCATTTGTAGGAGGTCAATGCCAGCTCCTCCTGGCCTTCTCGCAGTGCGCAGCGGCATGGCTCTCTCTCCCTCTGCACGTGAGGTAACTCAGGTTCTGGCTCGACCAGAGTATTGCACAGGGAGGTGTATTATGGGATGTTACCTTTGGCTTGCTGGGCTGGGGAGAGCCCTGAGACACGTGACCAAGGGTTGGCAGAGCTGCCTGGACGTTCAGGGACTCCTGGACTGCACGGCTGTTCCCCTGTGCGGGGCATAGTTTGCGGGGGCAGGGGAGCTTTAGTAACACAGTCCCCCGCTATGTAAACAGCCTAGAGATTTGCTTCTGGTCACTTCCAGTAAGAGAAGCAGAGTGGCTTAATAACCAACCAGCTCAGCCCTCCCCTCCCTCAGGGCCCCACCAACCACAGCCGGATTCACCAAGGGGCTTAGATGGTCCTGGGGAGAGAACATGGTGTCTGCCGCACCCATCCTGCTCCTCGTGCTCCTTCTTGCTTCACTTGCTCCTGGGAAGAGACAAAGGAGGCCCCCAGCCCTGGAGAGTCACTTTGAGAAGATCAAGATACAGGAGAACTTTGACCTCCAGCAGGTGAGGGAGGGACTAGGGAGCGCTGGGCATCCCAGGCACTGGCACAGCTCCCCGGAGGGTCCTCTGTCCTAGAGATGCTCACCTGCTCCATAACTTGCCAGGCAGGTGTTTCGGTTTGCCCCTTCTGCTTTGGTGCCCTGCCCCAAGAGACGGGCTTGGGTGATGGCTGCTACCTTGGCCAATATTCAATCAGGATTGAACCGGGGACCTCCAGAGTGAAAAGCACAAGCTGCTACAGTGCTTGCTAAAGATTCTGGGCTGCTTAGGGGGGCTGCAATCTCCTCTGTGGCTGTGACGCACTGGGGGTACCTCAGCAGGGTGTCGGTGAAGGGTCCCAAGGCTCCTCGAGCTGAACGTGCTGAACGAGTCTCACTCCAGTTTCCCCCCCGTAGCCTCAGCAGAGACGCTAAGTACTCAGGGGGCCATGAGGCGTGTGTGCGTGCTGCAGAGGTCTGAGATTGGTTAGGAGGGGAGCTCGCTCTGCTGCTGCTTGTGGTACACCCATCCGCAGAGAACCCCAGCCAGGGGCCCAGTCGCCAGCACTCCTGATCCAGCCTGGTGTTTCTTAGGCGGGCAGCTGGGTGCAGTGCCCCTGAGGACAAACTGAGAAGGGACATGCGGAAAGACAGCGCTTTCCCCTGCCCCAGCTTCTGGCTCTCAACAGCTAACCTGCTGCAGTCCCTGGGGAGCTCCTGTGTGATTGCTAAGGTGCCTAGAAAGCTACAGCTGGGAGATGCTATAGAAACATGGGGCCAGATCCAACCTCTCTCCACAAAGCCACAGGGAAAGGGCTTTATGCTGGAGAGCTGTGGGTGGAGGAAGGGAATCCAAGTCCCTACAAGCTGCCCTGTGGCCACTGTGATGCCCTTACGCCAGGGACTGGCCCACCAGCCCAAGCAGTAGGCTTCCCAGGCACTGGCCATACTATGTGCCTACTCCTGGGGGCATTCTGGGTCAAAAAATTAAAAATTCTGCACACACACACACACACACACACACACACACACACACACCCCAACTCCCCAGGAGTAGAGAGTTAAAGAAAACCCTATGACTACCCAGTTCCTGTTTCTCTGCCCCCTTGTCCACCCCCCAGAGCCCAGCCATGCCCCCCCAGCCAATACACCCAACCCCCTATCCCCCAGAGCCCAGCTGCAGGGCCCCACGAGCCAGATACCCATGCCTCTCCACCACAAAGTCCAGCCACAGCCCCCCCTTGCTCAGATACCTGCATCCCCTCCCCACCAGAGCCCAGCCACGGACCCCCCTTTGCCCAGACACCCCCACCACCACCCAGAGGGCCACATTGATAACTGGGGCCCCAGCACCATACTGATCAGGCCTATCTTATCAAGCACACTGGCCTCAAGCATAGGTTCCCCAACTTTTTTCTGCTATGCTCCCTTCTCCATGGGAGTCATAGAACAGCCTCCTCAAATCTGGGCAGAAAGGGGTGCAGACAGCTCACACCCAGGGCAGCATCAGGACTTGGCTGGCTCCATCCCTGGAGGAGCCCATGGCAGCACGGTGCAGAGCGGCCTGGGGCTCCTCACCTGCCCTCCCCCCTGCCAAGAGCCTCTCGCTCCCACAGGCTGCGGAGGGTTAAAACACTTGGGGCTGGGGCTGGCTGGGTGTCCGGGCCAGGCCAGGGCAGCAGCAGGGAGAGTGCAGGGAATCCTGTTGCTGGGGCAGGGCTGGGCTGTGCCCCTGCCCCAACTACTGGGGACTTCCAGGCCTGCACGTTCTCCCCACTGCTGCCCTGCCCCACTTGGCTGGCCACAGCCCTGAGCCCCCCGATAACCTTATCACCCCCGGGGGGGGGGGGCATGCTCCACAGGGCTAGTGGGCAGGGCACTAGCCTCTGAGACAGCAGACCCAGGTGCTAGTTCCTACTGTGCCCTGTGAGCTTAGGCAGCTCTTGTCCCCGTTTCCCTGAGTGTGAGCTCTTTGAGGCAGGGACTGCCTCTCCCTGGGCGTGTACAGTCCCGTGCACAATGGGGCCTCGTCTCAGGGAGGGTATCAGGTGCTACTGTTATGTATGTGTCATAACATCAGATCTGTGCATTTAATTTCTATTTCGAGAAATAGGATAAATGTAGCTGAAATCTCACAAAGTGTAACTTTTTTGCTCAGAATCTGGTCAGTTCTGTAAGTTAGACAATCAAACAAAAACTGCAGCATTTCAAAGAAGAGACGTAGAAATTATGGTTCAGTGTCCAGCGGCATGTCTATGTGTTTTGATGCCAGAAGTGTCATTTCATGAGCACGTTGGAGGTGAGGGGTCAAAAAACAAAATTTGGGGGGCTGCGAAGTAGCCAGAAACAAAACTATAAATATTGTTTGTAAATGTCACCCAAAAGAATGCTGCATTTTTGCCTAACTGTAACCTGCACCCAATCCATTGCTCCTTGTGTAATTCATTTGGCCGTTGGGGAAGCAGGCACTTGTTAAGCCCATGGGGACAGCACCTGCGCCAAAACGACGGTGCCCTAAAACCGCTCCTTGTGTATGTCTGTGGAGCTGAACGGGGAGCCTGTATGTCAGGGTCTTGCCCCTGGTGGATAGTTACCAATAAGCACTTTTGCCACCATCAGCCATGAGAGGGAGGGATTCCACCAGCTCAGATGCCGCAGCTCCTGCCTTTGGCTCCTCAGGGTCCTTGCTTCAAGACCCAACAGCAGCCAGAGTTTTGCCCTTGCTGCGGGAGGGATGGGGCAAAGGTGACTGCCTTGTGCCAACCCCTCCTCCTCTTGTAGTTTTCAGGGAAGTGGTTGCTGGTTGGTGTGGCCTCCAAATGTGACTACCTAAGAGAATATAATCACCAGCTGGAAGCAACAACCATGGCGGTGGCTGCCTCTGAAGGGAAGTCGCTGGCTGTCAGTACCTTCCGGAAACTGTAAGTGGCCCAGCGAGGAATGCGTGTTGGGCCGGCAGGCTGAGCTGGATCAGACGCCCTGACCTCCCGTGCTGTGTGCTCTGAGCTCGGCTTGTAGGACCTGCTTGACGACCCCTGGGGCTCAGCTGCAGCCCTTCCTCACCCCAGGCCACCAGGCCTGACGCCCCGTGTGAGAGCCGCGACAGCTCCGTGGTGCTGATGCCGGTCAGTGTGAGGTGCCCAGCTGCCCCAGGGCCCCCTCTCCAGAGCACTGCAGCTTGTTCTGCTTCTTTGAGCCACTCCCTTAGCACCCCCTAGTGTTCTCAAGTAGGTACTGCAGGTATGCTCACCTGTTCCATTCAATTACTACAAGGCAGGTGGCTACCTCCTTACCTCGCACAAGTGCCAAGGGAAAACTGTGAACTGTGCTTGAAAATACAGCTTGTAATTAAAGCTCTTAATTCCAGTCAGCTTTTCTGAGTCTCCTGTGGGTGGCAGCGGCTCTGCAGTGAAGAGACCTCTATTGTGAAGTCAGCAGTCTGGGGGCCCCATGGCAGAGCCTGCAAACAACTTCTGCCTGGCTCTACCCAGAAGATATTCCAGCCCAGTGTGTAGGGTTTGGCCTGCCCTTGCAGTTCCTCAGCAGGGAGCTCCTCATTCAAGGAAAAGAGGAACAAACTGGAAGGGAGGGCGGTGAGGTTTGGAAGTGTGGCCCTGATTCAGCACAGCAATTAAGCACATACTTGGCTTTAAGCAAAAGGACTCAGCCCCGTTTTACAAAGCACATGCTTGACTTCACTGGGCTCAAGCACACGTGGCTAAGAACTGGGCTGGTTCGGGGCCCACAGCAACAAAGCCCTCCATTAAGGCTGAAGGCAAGACATGGGGTCACTGCTGAGCTGGTAATGCAGAGAGGGCGTTGCAGCACTGGGCCAACGTGTTATCTGCTGCTGACCCTGCTAAAGCACGATTTCCCACCCACTCCACGAGACTGCTTTGGCGTGATTAGAAATGGAGAGGAGAATCTCAGTCACTTCCCAGCCCCTTTGCCTGCAGAGAGAACCTGGAATATGAGGAGAGAGAAAAAACTATCCCTGGTAAGGGAGGAGACGCTGCAGCTTGGGGGCCTAACGATGCTACCCATGTGCACACACACACGCATTCACATGAACACACATGTGTGCACAGGCAAACACATTGAAAACTCAGGCCCAAAGGAGTCACTGCACTACCCTTCCCCCAAAGCCTCAGCCTACTCCTGTGTGTAGTGTGGTGATGCTGCAGGCAGGCATCTGTCCCCTTGAGGCATACACCTGAAGTACAGTCCCACTGTGATGGGATCCCTGGGTGCAGCCTGGGACCGTGGGATCGCTGTGCTCCCTGAACTCTCTCCAACCTGGGCTGTCTCTCACACTCTTTGCTGGTGACCAGCAGCAAACCCCTCCAGGTGCTGTTATCACTCAGCACCACTGCATGTGGAGACTCCACACCCAGCTAGATTGCATGAATGCTCCCAGAGCCACTCATGAATCACACAGAGAAAGGCACCAGCCAAATCCCCCAGCTCCCAGCACTGTATCCCAGGAATATACCATCTTGATGAATAGTGCAAATTTGTTAATTGGTTCCCCACTTCATCAATGGAAAGTGGACATACACCAGCCTTTGCAAAACAGCAGATTTGCCACACACTTCATACAGACTCACTGGTAAATATAAACAGTTAAACAAATGTATTGACTATAAAAGATAGATTTTAAGTGATACTAAGTGATAGGCAAAAAGTCAGAGTTAGTTACTAAAAGAAATAAAATATAACCAAGCAGCCTAACCTCTCAACCCTATTAGACTGGGCAGCAACTAGTTTAAGAAGTTTTTCTCACCCCACTGGATATTGCAGTCCTTAATATACAGATTTGTCCCTTAAATCTGGGCCAGTCTCCTCTGTTGCAGTCTTCAGTCTTTCTCGCAGTGCCTTTGTTGCTTGCAGCGTAGGTGGGGGCAGGAGAAAGGCCAAGCCTGGGCCCCATGTGTTCAGTTTTATACCCTCAGTTCATGTGCTTTTAGAACACAAGCCCAGGCATGTCTGGGGGGCATTGCTGAGTCTCCAGGCAAGGTTGAGCAATATCCCTGGTGTGGCCTCATGCAGGTGAGTCATTGAATTGTAGCTCCCTTGCTGGACAATGGCTGCTGATGGGTTGTTTGACACCCTGCCCAGGCGTTGGTTACTTTCCTTGCTGTTGCCTCTGGAGAGCTAATATCTGCCTGATTCCCCAACTTACAGCATGTTTTAGTGACCACCATACAACACAATCTCATAACTTCATATGCGTTAATGATACACATCTATGGATAGAGAAATGACTCTCAGCAGATCATAACCTTTCCCCTGATACCTTACAAGGCATGCTTTAGATGTAAGATCACGATTATATACAGATGAGGAATAAGGAGGGGGGTTACAGGGTGCTCCCCCAAGATACAGAATGTCATACCCACCCACAGGCCTTCAGGCTGACTCTCTTCAGTGCTTTGGCTGGGGGTGGGGAGGGGGATTGCTCATTATTTCCTGGCCATGTTCCCTTTCGTAGTGTCCCCAAATGTGCCTTTCTCTGACCTTTCCCTTTTCTTTGCGTGAGCGCACAGGGCAGTGCCTCCGGGCACTTTCTGGCTCACCTTCGGTTCGGAGCTGGCAAGTGAGCCAGGGGTCAGGCAGCTACCTGGCTTTGCATTTGGTCACTTCTTTCCCTGGGATGTTTGATGTAATGTGATAAAAACAATTGCTAAAATCCTGGGCCCTCTGAGGTCAATGAAAAAACCATTGACTTCAATGGGCCCAGAACTTCACCCAAAAGCCTATGCTCCCTAGTGACCCTGACCTCAGAGGGAGTTTAGCTTGGAACTCACTACCATGTAGCTGTGGATATTAATTTAGAGCCAGCTAGTGTATGACTTGCTGGGCCCTGAAACAGGTCTCTGTGGATGAGGGGAAAGCAGTGGACGTGTTATTCCTTGACTTTAGCAAAGCTTTTGATATGGTCTCCCACAGTATTCTTGCCAGCAAGTTAAAGAAGTATGGGCTGGATGAATGGACTATAAGGTGGATAGAAAGCTGGCTAGATTGTCGGGCTCAACGGGTAGTGATCAATGGCTCCATGTCTAGTTGGCAGCCGGTATCAAGCGAAGTGCCCCAAGGGTCAGTCCTGGGGCCAGTTTTGTTCAATATCTTCCTTAATGATCTGGAGGATGGTGTGGATTGCACCCTCAGCAAGTTTGCAGATGACACTAAACTGGGAGGAGTGGTAGATATGCTGGATGGTAGGGATAGGATACAGAGGGACCTAGAGAAATTAGAGGATTGGACCAAAAGAATTCTGATGAGGTTCAACAAGGACAAGGGCAGAGTCCTGTGCTTAGGACGGAAGAATCCAATGCACCGCTACAGACTAGGGACCGAATGGCTAGGCAGCAATTCTGCAGAAAAGGACCTAGGGGTTACAGAGGATGGGAAGCTGGATCTGAGTCAACAGTGTGCCCTTGTATCCAAGAAGGCTAATGGCATTTTGGGCTATATAAGTAGGAGCATTGCCAGCAGATCGAGGGATGTGATCATTCCCCTCTATTTGGCATTGGTGAGGTCTCATCTGGAGTACTGTGTCCAGTTTTGGGCCCCACACTACAAGAAGGATGTGGAAAAATTGGAAAGTGTCCAGCGGAGGGCTACAAACATGATTAGGGGACTGGAACACATGACTTATGAGGAGAGGCTGAGGGAACTGGGATTGTTTAATCTGCAGAAGAGAAGAAATGAGGGGGGATTTGATAGCTGCTTTCAGCTACCTGAAAGGGGGTTCGAAGGAGGATGGATCTAGACTGTTCTCAGTGGTAGCAGATGACAGAACGAGGAGTAATAGTCTCAAGTTGCAGTGGGGGAGGTTTAGGTTGGATATTAGGAAAAACTTTTTCACTAGGAGGGTGGTAAAGCACTGGAATGGGTTCCCTAGGGAGGTGGTGGAATCTCCTTCCTTAGAGGTTTTTAAGGTGAGGCTTGACAAAGCCCTGGCTGGGATGATTTAATTGGGGATTGGTCCTGCTTTGAGCAGGGGGTTGGACTAGATGACCTCCTGAGGTCCCTTCCAACCCTGAGATTCTATGATTCTATGACTCTCTTCACCTAAACTGTCACCAGATACCTAGCCCAGCCCCCTTCCTCACCCCTTAAGGAGTGTCAGAATGATGGCTGCTTCAGCAACCCACATTTCTTGGCTCTTTCAGTTCCATTGTTTAAATGAAGGCTGCCCACAGCGTGTGGGTAATGCTGACAGGTAGGTAATACCACCTCACTGCCATCTAGCACTTGTCATCCATGGAGCTCAAAGCACTTTCCAAAGAAGGTCAGTATCATTATCCCCATTGTACAAGTGGGGGAAACTGAGGCACTGAGTGGGTAAATGAGTTGCCCAGAGTCACGCAACAGGCCAGCAGCAGACCCCAGGTCTCCTGAGTCCCAAGCCCAGTGCTCTACGCACTTAGAAAGGAGGAACGTAACAATGTTTCATATTACTACTTCATTGCACGGCTGCCTCCATAGCCCATGAGGCCCTTTCGCAAGGTGGGGGAGGCTTATCAGCCTCTGTTTACAGATCAGGCACATCCTCACTTTGGGTGAGTTTTAGGTGTCTGATATTAGATACCTGGGTGTCTAAAGCTGGGCACCCAGGGTGGAGGGAACTAACTTCGAGGTCAGTGTGGCCAGATTTCAGAACTCAGGGCCAGAGTTTTCAAGAACTCAGTCCCCAGCAGCTCCCACTGTGACACAGACACATTTTCCAAAGAGCTCAGCACCCAGATGAAACTCTGGCCCATGTAACTTACCCAAGCTCCCGCAGCGCTGAGTCAATATTAGAACACAAACTGTGCCCCCTGCATCGACCTCTCCCCGTAACACGTTCTGAGCATGTAAAAATAACACCAGCAAATGAGTAATACGTAAACCAGGGCAATAAAGAAAACAGCAGCAAGGTGCAGCCATGAAAGTGGAATGCATCACATCTGAAACCTTTGCTCTTTGATGGGTCCTTGCCAAGCGGTGGCTTTTCTCTGGCTGGGTCGGAGGAATCTAACACACATGCTGTCTTTCTCCCTTGACATGCGCAGAGATGGAGCATGCTGGGAGATTAAGCAGCAATACTGCTCCACCAAGGCCAAGGGGCGATTCCTCCTGAAAGGTGAGTGAGGAGCTGGGGCTGGAGGAGGTTAGTGTTGGGTGTGTTTGGCGTGTTCCTAGGCAGGGCTTTGAAACAACAAAGCTAGCGACAAGGCACGAGCTGGCTGAGCTCCCAGATCTGCCCGTTATTAGCATGGCAGGAAATATGGAGGCTGGTGAGCATGGGGCAATTCTGCTTCGCCAAGCTGTTGTTTGCCCTTCTATTGATGTTTGCTCCCGTAGGGACTCCAGCTGATGATCAGGGCATAGCTTGTGGGTGGAGAGGCCCGTGTTAATTCTCTGGCCCCCATCAGCACAGTATGTGAACATCTCACAATCTGTAATGGAAGAGACAAGGTGGTAGCTCGTATGAGAACCTAAGAATGGCCATACTGGGTCAGACCAGTGGTCCATCTAACCCAGTGTCCTGTCTTTCGACAATGGCCAATGCCAGGTGCTTCAGAAGGAATGAACAGAACAATCATTGAGTCGTCCTGTCGTCCACTCCCAGCTTCTGGCAGTCAGAGGCTTAGGGAGTTGTGTCCCTGACCATCTTGGCTAATAGCCACTGATGGCCATATCCTCCATCCACTGATGGCCATATCCTCCATCCACTGATGGGCTTATCCTCCATCCACTGATGGGCTTATCCTCCATCCACTGATGGGCTTATCCTCCATCCACTGATGGCCATATCCTCCATCCACTGATGGCCATATCCTCCATCCACTGATGGGCCTTATCCTCCATCCACTGATGGGCCATATCCTCCATCCACTGATGGCCATATCCTCCATCCACTGATGGCCATATCCTCCATCCACTGATGGGCCATATCCTCCATCCACTGATGGGCTTATCCTCCATCCACTGATGGGCTTATCCTCCATCCACTGATGGCCATATCCTCCATCCACTGATGGGCCATATCCTCCATCCACTGATGGGCCATATCCTCCATCCACTGATGGCCATATCCTCCATCCACTGATGGGCTTATCCTCCATCCACTGATGGGCCATATCCTCCATCCACTGATGGCCATATCCTCCATCCACTGATGGCCATATCCTCCATCCACTGATGGGCCATATCCTCCATCCACTGATGGGCTTATCCTCCATCCACTGATGGGCTTATCCTCCATCCACTGATGGGCCATATCCTCCATCCACTGATGGCCATATCCTCCATCCACTGATGGGCCATATCCTCCATCCACTGATGGGCTTATCCTCCATCCACTGATGGGCTTATCCTCCATCCACTGATGGGCCATATCCTCCATCCACTGATGGGCCATATCCTCCATCCACTGATGGCCATATCCTCCATCCACTGATGGGCTTATCCTCCATCCACTGATGGGCCATATCCTCCATCCACTGATGGCCATATCCTCCATCCACTGATGGCCATATCCTCCATCCACTGATGGGCTTATCCTCCATCCACTGATGGGCCATATCCTCCATCCACTGATGGCCATATCCTCCATCCACTGATGGCCATATCCTCCATCCACTGATGGGCCATATCCTCCATCCACTGATGGGCCTTATCCTCCATCCACTGATGGCCATATCCTCCATCCACTGATGGGCCATATCCTCCATCCACTGATGGCCATATCCTCCATCCACTGATGGGCTTATCCGGACAAGCTTCCGAGCTCCACAGAGCTCTTCTTGTGAAGCTCGCAAGCTTGTCCCTTCCACCACCAGATGCTGGTTCAATAAATCACCTCCCCGAACCTTGTCTCTCTCATACACTGGGACCAACACAGCTACAACAACTCTGCAACATTTCTCCTCATGCACCCCTGGGGGGCAGGGCTGGGCTATTACCCCATTGTACAGATGGGGAACTGAGGCACAGACAGGCTGAGGACCAGGGTTTTAAAGTACTTAGGCCTCTAACTTGTATTGTGCAAGGGCACCCACAAAGCACAGGGTGGAGCGGCGACTCAACGCCAGGCGTCCTGAGTCCTAGGCACATGCCGTAACCACTGAACCACCCTTTCTTTCTCTGGCCAGCCTCCGTCGTCTAGCTAGTGTCGCTGCAGTTAGTACAGAGTCTAGCACAATGGTGCCCTGGTCCCTGATCCCTGCCCGGGGTCTCTACACACTATCATGAGACCAGTCCATAATTTGCTATCCCATGGCTTTGGCTCCTAGGCCGTGGCAGCAATGTGGATGTGGTGGTGGGGGAGACAGACTACAACAGCTACGCCATCCTGTACTACCAGAAGCTCCGGAAGATCTCCATCAAGCTCTATGGTGGGTGTGCAGACTCATGGCCTTGCCATTAGCTTCCCTGGGGAATTGCCTCCCCATGGAGGGGCACTGAGGCACAGTGGGGCAGACAGACTGGGGGGAATGTTTGGACCCAGCGGGCACTAGTGGCCCTCATTGGGTAGGGCCCAGACAAGCTGCCCCAAGTTTTGTTTGCTTACAGGTTAGATTGGGGTGACTTTGCTCAGCGCCCCAGCTTGTGTCATAGGGCATTTCCTCCAGGCTGCTCCCTCCTATTTCAGGGCTATAGCCATGGGGTCCAGAACCAGCACTGTTTGTGCTCCGGCTGCTCCCCACACATAGGGGTGGCACCGTGCCGGAGGGGTAGGACTCTGCTGTGGGACAATGTGAGGGCAGTGGGGCTTTGGGACTGATTCTATTTCACGTGGCAGCAACACTTCCTGGAGGCTGCAAATGTCTTGGTTTGAGGCTGGGCTCAATTGTGCGGTAGGAATCACACTTGCTCATGTGAGGGCTGAATTTGGTCTGGTGGCTCCAGACACTGGATGGAAGATCACCAGCCTAGGGCTAGAGCTGGGCTTGAAATGCTTTTCCTGCCCCACAAACATGTTTGAAATGTTGAAAAATGGCCCCATCCAGAACAGAGATACAAAATCGAAATCTCAAAAATGTTCACAAACTAAACATCAGAAAAAAATGTCAACTGCATCAATCAAAATGTTTCATTTAAATTTTGACTATTTAAAATGTGGGTTTCTTTAGTATAAGTAGTTTACACCTCTAAATGTAGAGTTGCTTTGAAACAGAGAAACTGGAATGTTTTCTTTAGAAAACATCAAAATGAAACATTTCAACAATTTCAAAAAAAAATTTCTGAGTGGAAATGTTTGTCAAAACTGCCCCTTTCACTGGGAAAGTTTGGCTTTCAACAAATTGGCATTTCCGACAAGAAACGTTCCATAGAATGGTTCCTGACCCACTCTCCACAGTCACTGCTGTCCTGGGGCCGAACACAGTGCCTGCCATTGGATTCTCTTTATTTCACCCCTCCCAAAGGACGCAGCGTCCGGGTCAGTGACGCCATCATGGGTAAATTCGAGCAGCGCATCACAGAGATGAACTTGAACGAGGACTTCACCTACTACTTCCCCACTTACGGTGAGTCCTGGTCATCCTGCTCAGTGCAATGGGGGGGTTTCATCTTCCTCTGCAGCCTGGGGCACAGGCAATGTTCCCTCTAATGTTTATATTCATGTGTGGAAAGAATTTTGTTATGTGCACTCATATGGAGGTGATGTGTGGCGGGAGTGGGGCCGAGGGGTTCGGAGTGTGGGAGGGGGCTCAGGGATGGGGCAGAGGATTGCGATGCGGGCGGGGGTGAGGGCTTTGGCTGGGGGTGCAGGCTCTGGGGTGGGGCCAGGGATGAGGGGGTTGCGTTGCGAGATGCCCTGGGACTGTGATGGGGAGAGAGGACTCCCCCCAGCCCTTTCTCGCCACAGCAGCCCGGGGCTGGGGTAGAGTGTCTTTCCCCGCCGCGGCAGATCGAGGGACGTGATTATTCCCCTCTATTCGGCACTGGTGAGGCCACACCTGGAGTATTGCGTCCAGTTTAGGTCCCCCACTACAGAAGGGATGTGGACAAATTGGAGAGAGTCCTGTGGAGGGCAATGAAAATGGTTAGGGGGCTGGTGCACATGACTTACAAGGAGAGGCTGAGGGAACTGGGGTTATTTAGTCTGCAGAAGAGAAAAGTAAAGGGGGATTTGATAGCAGCCTTCAACTACCTGAAGGGGGGTTCCAAAGAGGATGGAGCTCGGCTGTTCTCAATGGTGGCAGATGACAAACAAGGAGTCTGAAGTTGCAGTGGGGGAGGTCTAGGTTGGTTATTAGGAAACACTATTTCACTAGGATGGTGGTGAAGCAGTGGAATGGGTTCCCTAGGGAGGTGGTGGAATCTCCATCCTTAGAGGTTTTTACAGTCCGGCTTGACCAAGCCCCTGGCTGGGATGATTTAGTTGGGGTTGGTCCTGCTTTGAGCAGGGGATTGGACTAGATGACCTATCTTCCAACCCTAATCTTCTATGATTTTATGAGAGGTGCCTCTCCCTGGCTGAGGCAGCTCTGGGGCTGGACGAGAGTCACCTCTCCCCACTATGCACCTGCACGGCCCTTGATAGCCTGCTGCGCGGCCGCGCAGCTTAGAGGGAACTTAGGGCACGGGTCATAGGCACAAACTTCCCCTCTACCTGGAGGTTGCTCGACCCCGCTTCCACCCAGGCCCCACCCCCACTCCACCCCTTCCTGCCCCTGCTCCGACCCCGCTCCACCCCACTACACTCCTTCCCCAAGGCCCCGCCCCATCTCTTCCCACCCCTGCTCCCCCGCCCTGCCTCTTCCCCACCTCGTTCTTCCCCCTCCCCTGAGCGCCCCCCATCCTTGCTCCTCCCCCTCACTCCTGAAGCCAACCTGCACTGCACACTGTGAAACAGCTCTTCACGGTGGGCAGGAGGCGCTAGGAGGGAGGGGAGGAGTGATCATCAGGGCCGCCAGCAGGGGAGAGGTGCTGGGGGGGGCGGGTGGGAGAGGGGGAGCTTGGCAGCCAGTGGATGCTGAGCACCCGCTAATTTTTCTCCGTGGGTACTCCAGGGCTGGAGCACCCACGGAGTTTGCGCCTATGGCATGAGTGATTTGCTGCTTCAAACTAGAGGTTCTGGGCCTATTACAGGAGTGGGTGGGTGAGGTTCTGTGGCCTGTGATTAGCGGTGGGTCAGACTAGATGATCACAAGGATGATCCCTTCTGGCCTTAGTCTGTTAGTCTATGAAGATGGGCTTGAGGACCCCCTGGTGCTGCAGTCTGCCCGAATGGCTGTCCCCCTGGCCTAACTCCCAGCCAGGGAATAGCTCCCAGTGCATTTGATCCAGGGACAATGGTGTTTGCTCCAATGCTCTTGCAGGGTGTTCTTGGCTAAGGGCACAGCTCCGCCACCATCCCGTCCCACCCCTTTGTCTTGTCTTGCCAAAGCAGCTTAGCTTAGCTTGGCCACCTGCAGCTTGGGAGTCATCAAAGCCCAGAAACACCCTGTAAAGCATTATTTCTGTAGCACCCAAAGGCCCCGGTGAGGGTCATGCTGGACCTGGCCAAACAGAAGGTTGCCAGAGCTCCAAGTCTAAAGCAGGGCAGGCTCTGTGGGGCACTGTGTAGACTCAGATGGGGTGGGGAGCACTGGGGAACTTGTCATCGCTGGTGGGCATCTTTCCAGACAGAAGCAGAAGGAGGTTGTGGCAGGGCAGCTGGTCAGGGAGCTGGGACGCAGATTTTAGGAGGTGCTGGTAAAGCAGAGCCCCCAAGGTCCCATGGCCCTGAGCTACTGTGCCCTTTTAGGATGTGCTCGAAGCCTGCATGGGGCGGCACGATGATTTCTTAGCAGCAGCAGGTGAGCGGGCCCAGAAGCTGCTGCGAGCGGTTGTGAGAGGTGTGGGCTAAGGAGCCCTGGCCCGCTAGTGCAGGGGAGGGCAGGAAACAGCAGGATTTGCTCCAGCCTGGGGATTCCCGGGGAGAGGAGCTGCTGAGTGTGCCTGAGTTGTAAGGGATGTGTGCCCATGAGCCAAGGGACAACTCATTGGCACTTTGCCTTGGGGTCTATATCAGCTGACACCAGGTCTCTTGACATGAAAGCCCAATGTGCCCCTCACATCCATGGGCCAGGTGTAAATGGGTGTAGCTGGTATCCATTCACTTCAATGCAGCGATGCCAGTTCACATCAGCGCAAGGCGTGGGGCAGTGGACCCGCCCTGTGCTTTGGGGACAGGTGGGGTGCTGGACACTGACATGTGGCCTTTGTTGCAGGGTTCTGTGAGTCCACAGATCAATTTCATCTGCTTGATGGTGAGTTACAACCCCCCAAGGCCCGGCCGGCAGGACAAGTGCCCCCCACGTCCCCCATCAGCCTGCAAGGCCTAGTGGGTGGCATGGGATTGTGCAGCCCCAGCTCAGCAGGGAGAGGGGCCAGGGGGAGGGCAGAGGGAAGGAAGTGGAAAAGTCTCCTTCCCGTCATCTAATGCCAGCCTCAGGCAGCTCCCCCATGGACCACAAACTGGTGTCTGAATGGACTCCCTGGGGATGGGGTCAGATGGGGGGGCTGACTGGGATGGAGGATGGGGTCAGATGGGGGGGCCAGTCTCCTCTGTTGGAGTCTTCAGTCTTCAGAGTGTCCTTGTTGCTTGCAGCATAAGGTGGCAGGGCCGTCCTTACCCATACGCAAACTACGCAGCTGCACAGGGCACCAGGAAATTTGGGGGACAGTTTCCACGGTATACATCTGATGAAGTGAGCTGTAGCTCACGAAAGCTCATGCTCAAATAAATTGGTTAGTCTCTAAGGTGCCACAAGAACTCCTTTTCTTTTTGCGAATACAGACTAACACGGCTGTTCCTCTGAAACCCAAATTTCCTGGTGCCCTATGCAGCTGCATGCTGCTCCAGTGGCCAGCCTGATCCCTTGGCTGGCTGAGCCTGCCAGGAAAGCTGCCCCCACTCCTGCCGCACCCCGCCCCGCCTCTTCCCACCCCTGCTCCTCCCCAGCCCGCGGGGGACTGCAGCAGGAGTTGGGTGCGCCCTGCAAACACTGGGTAGCAGGAAGTGGAGCGACCCGGCCCCAACCCGCTCCGCCAGCTCGTGCTGGGGGGCGGTTCTCCCGTGCCCCCAAGCCTGCTCCTGCCCCCCACAGACCTTGGGTGCAGCCCCCCGCCGCACGGAGGCCTGGGGATAACCCCCTGCAGAGGCATGGGGCCAGCCCCCTTCCCCCCTGCAGGGGGGCTGTGTAAGGCACCACAATATCTAGGGACGGCCCTGTAAGTTGGGGGCAGGAGAAAGACCCAGAAGTGGGCCCCTGTGTTCTGTTTTACATCCTTAGTCCATGTGCTTGGAGAACACAAGTCCAGGCATGTCTGGGGGGCATTGCTGAGTCCCAAGGTGAAGCAACACACACACACACACACGTCTTCCCTTGTCATTGACCCTGGAGAGCTAGTATCTGGGCGCTTCCCAAACCACAGCGTGTTTTAGTGACAACCATACAACACAGTTCATATAATTTCATATGCATTGATGATACACGGATTTAGATAGAACAATGGCATTCAGCAGATACCTGATACCTTACACGGCATGCTTTATATGCAAGATCAAAATTATGTATAAATGAGGACTATGGGGGTTACAGGACTCTCCCCCAAGCAGGGCCGGCCTTCGGCATATGCAGCATATACGGCTGCAGAGGGCATCCGAAAATCTGGGGCCCCATTCCCCTCGCTGGCCGCGGCTGGAATCCTCCCTTCTCCGGCCCCTGTCCTGCGCTGGGCCGGCGGGCTTCTCCCCTGCTCCCTCCCTCGCTCCTCAGCAGCCCGGCCCCGGCCCTGGCCCACCGCTGCCTGGAGGAGTCGGCCCTGGACCCTGCCTGCCTGCACTGCTGGTCTCCAGCCCGGGGCCAGGACAGGAGGGGCGAAACTTCCATGTTAGTCGGGGGAGACTTAAAGTGACAGTGCGCTCACTGTCTCTCACACCTCCCTAACACACACACACTCTGTCTCTCTCACACAGACTGGCTCTCACACCCACATACAAGAGTCACAGTCCCCCAATACAGATTGTCACACACACACAGTCTCACACTCCCCAACACACTCTCTCTCTCTCTCTCACACACACACACACATTATTGTTGTTGTTATTACTGCTTGGTACTTCCTGCCAAAATGCTGTGGTGAGCCAGGTGGCAAGGGGCTGCAGGAGGGCCGTGGGCTCTGGCAAGGTGCAGCCCCCATGTGACAGCGCGAAGCCGGCCTTGAGCCTCTGCCGCAGCATCTGCTGCCTATGAAGCTCCGTGTGTGTCAGCAATGGCGGAGGTGGGGGGTTGGGAGTCCGCGGGCGGGGGTGGTGGCTGTGCCCCCTCGACACACTGGGGTCAGCGGCGCTGGCTGGGGACGGCCTGGGGACGGCGCTGGCTGGGGACAGCATAGGGGCACCAGTTTAATAATACTGCATAAGGCCCCATAAATCCTAAGGGCGGCCCTGCCCCCAAGGTATAGAATGTCACGAGGGGCTCCCTGGGGCATGGAGGACAGGGTCAGATGCGTGGGGCTCCTTGGGGTGTGAGGGATGGGATCAGATGGGAGGGCTCCTTGGGGCATGGGTGACAGGGTCAGAAGGGGTGGGGCTCCTTGGGCTATGGGGTCAGATGGGCTGGGGGCTCCCTGGGGCATGGGGGACAGGGTCAGATGCGTGGGGCTCCTTGGGGTGTGAGGGATGGGATCAGATGGGGAGGCTCTCTGGGGCTTGGGGGACAGGGTCAGAAGAGGTGGGGCTCCTTGGGGTATGGGGGACAGGATCACATGGGATGGGGGCTCCCTGGAAGAGGGGAAATGGGGTCCATTCCAGGGCAGCGGGCTCATACCCCTCTCATTAATGTTTTGGGATAAGGAGGCATTTCTCCAGTCCCCATCATTGGCTCTGAAGGACGTCCCTTATCTCTTCAGAGGAAAGCTGACTGAAGGGCAGTGGAAGGTGCCTGCGGCCCTTGGCAGTGCCCAGGTGGTGCCCCTCCCCTCAGCCCCTCTCTATTTGCTTTCCAGAAACGAAGATTTAGGTGAAGAAGGAAATGCCAGAGACTGCGGGAGCCAACCAGCCATGTCTGCAGGCATACTGAGCGCAGGGGCTTGGCCACGGGAGCTGCCAGTGAATTCTGTGGCCCAGTTATTCAGCCAGGGCTGGGGAGCTCCAGGTGGATGCTGGGCCAAGGAAGTGATGAAGGGGTGGGATTGGGGTCTCCTCTGTAGTCCTAACCCTAGTGTTTGTTCACTCCCAGCCCTTGCTCCCCCTCACTCCCCAGGCTCATGTCTCTTCCACATGATACTACCACACAAAGGCGGATTTGGGTTTTGTGGGGCCCTGCGCCAGAGCAGTGGGGCCCGCTCCCCATCCCTTCCTCCTGCAGTCCTCCCCAACCCCTTCCGTGCTCCTGCCAAGGAGTGGGGTTGGGGTGCTGCCAGCAAGAGCACCAGGCAGGCAGAGTGGTTCGGGGCACAGGGGCACCCATTTTTCTGGGGACCCCAAATTGGCCAGGGCCCCTGGGCACAGGCCCCGTTGGCCCAGTGACTAATCCATCATTGCCCCCATGCCCTTCTGCGGGATCCCCTGCCCAGTTGCCCCTCACTGCTACTGCCTCCCTCCTCTTACCTGATTCGGTGCTCGCTCTTGTTGCTGTCCCCAGATGGGCTGTGAGCCCCCATGAGGAAGCCCTGCTCTCCTTACACTGACGCAGTACGGCCCTGCAACCCTTCAGCTTCCACCTCCTGTGCGCTGCCCCTGTCAATTTCTCAGGGCCTGGCTGTGCCCATTGTGCTGGGCTCAGTGCAGACTGGCATGGAGCAGATGCCCAGCTCACGCTCTTTCTCTGGAATCCACAATAAACGCTGGCCAGGCTGGGAAGGCCCCTGTGCTCCTTGCAGATGGGAAAAGGACACAAGTGTGCCAGGAGGGTTGGGCAGGTGGGATTCTCCACTGCAGGGGCCCCATACAGTTCCAGCTCCTGTGGTTATGTCCAGCAGGACATTCCTTGCAGGAGAGTTGTGCCATTCAGTGCCATTCACCCTGTGGGGCAGGAGGCATGAGCAAGTCTGCAGCCCTTCAACAATCCGCTTTGCTGGCGATGTTTCCATTGCCCCTTGCCCCATTGGCTGTGGGGGTCCCAGCCCCAGCCCTGTCCCCTTATCACTGCTTCAGTCCCTGAACATGGCTGATCTGCGGCACCCTGCGCTTTCCCAGCAACGTCTTGAACAGCTGATCTGGGGAGGAGCCGGGACTCGGGGACACACGTCCATTCAGTCAGAGTCCCACACGGGGTTAAATGCCAAGGGGCTGAAGCTGAAAGGAGAAACCCCACGGCATCAGGGCCCCACTCAACCAACCAGCTGGGCCTCTGTGCGCTGCACAGACCCCTCTACCACTCTGACCCCTGCTGCCACTTAGATCAGAGCATCCGCAGCAACCCCAGGCATGTGACCGGTGCCCTGTACCCACGGCTGCAGTGCTGGCCATGTGCAGCCCCCTCCCCTGCAGGCAGCCCCCTCCACCATGGTGCCAACCAGGTGCAGCCCCTTGCACTGTGGGTGCTAGCCATGTGCAGCCCCGCCCCCCCCCATGGTGCTGGCCACATGCAGCCCCCTCCCCTGTGTGCAGATCCCACCGTGGTGCTGGCCATGTGCAGCCCCCTCCCCTGAAGTGCCACAGTCCCCTGTGCCATGGCTCCAGACATATGCAGCCCTTCCGCCACTGCACTGGATCCACAGAGGTGCCAGTCCCACGGGGCATCTCCTGCAGACATGCAGCGAATTGTTCCGTGCCATCTCCACAGCAGCACCAGCTGCTTTGGGCAGTACCAGCCATGCGCCACATCCTCCGCAGAGACACCAGCCGCCTGCAGGGCAAGCCGAGAAGACCCAGCATTGCACGTGGAGGCACCAGCCCTATTCAGCATGACGGGGCCACTCACATCCTGCCCCCCCTGCACACAACTTGGCGCCATCCCTGTGTCCCTTGTCGCCAGCCCGAAGTTACAGCTCACCCAGTGCTGGATTCCAGTCCCAGATGCTCACCCACGTACCTGCCACTGTGCCCTTCCAGTCCAGGCCTTTCTCCTCCTCCCCAAAGAGACAGTGGGATCCCTTGAGCTAGTTTGACCCGAAGTCCCAGAATTCCAGTGAAGGTATCCCACAATCCACTACGAGAAGAATCCCAGAGTAATAGCGCCCATCAGTGGGACAATGCACCCTGCGACACCTGCCCAGAATGCTGTGCGCTGATGCAGGGAGAGATGGGTCAAGGCTGGCTGCATGGACCCACTTCGTTATTCTGCAAAAGTCCATATGATCATCTACAAAACACTCCCCATGTGGACAAGCCACAGCTCAGTGAGCCCAGGAGCATGGCACTGAACAGAACTCAAATCTCCCACCCATTGGTCCCATTTACTGTGTCACAGGACCTAGCTATGACACGACAGCACTGCAACCTGGTTACACGTGCTCCAGTCCTGCAGGGCAGATGCAACCAAACCATCTTGGAACTGTGTTCCCCAATTGTGCTGTTGTTATTTACTGAGTCATACTAGCTCCCCTATGTGCCAGGGGCTTCCCAAACACCTCGGGCTGGCCACGCGCCGAGGAGGGGGATGGGGGAGAGTGAGAGGACACACCAGTATGCGCGAAAAGAAAAGAAAAGGAGGACTTGTGGCACCTTAGAGACTAACAAATGTATTTGTTAAAATTTGTTAAAATAAATATGTTAGTCTCTAAGGTGCCACAAGTACTCCTTTTCTTTTTGCGAATACAGACTAACACGGCTGCTACTCTGACACCAGTACGCGTCACTCCCCTCAGAGCTGGCTCTGTAAGAGGGATTGAAAGGTGGACAGGGATAGAGTCCTTGGGGTTGAGGAATATACCTGCTTAGCAAGGCTGAGCCAAGTTTGATGTGTGCCGTGTCGGGAGCTCATCCCGTGCAGCCTGGGCTGGGATGTTTCCAGGCCATGCAGAGTGGTGACTGGCAGGAATGTTCAGGAGGGAGAGAAGCCCCTGCATGAGCCCCGTGCTTTTGCTGAGTGGACACCGGGATTGACAGGACCCTGCTGGGAGGGTGGGCTTGTAGTTTGCAGAGAGGCCCAGGGGAGCAGTACTGTTTTCGCCCACGCCCAACCACTGGGGTTTTGCAATCTTTTGTCTGAAATTCCTAACACATGTTGTTTATCGGGGAAGCTTACGTAAGGCAACCCCACTGACCCTTCCACTGTGTTCTCTGCTCATTGTTCCTGCTTCCCATGTGTCAGGCAGTCACATTCAGCTGGCAGCTGGCAGTAACTCCTGGGCATCTCACTGCTCCAGCCCTGGTAGAGCAAAATGCCTGGGACCCGTGTCCTGCTGGGCACCACTGTCCCGCAGCAGCAGAAGGATCACTGCCAGCAGAGGCACCTATGTCTTGTCGACACCCTTTGGAGAGTCAAGATGCTAGCCCTGGTGTCCTGGCCCACACCCCACAAATCTTCCCCCCTGCAGTTTCAGACAATTACAGCTTGCTTTGTTTTCTGTCCACATGTGCATCATGTTGCTGTGCCCTGTTAAACAGCTGCCATGCTCCTCCCCAGAGGTGGCTGTCATTCAGTGATTCTAATATGGGTACTTTGGACTCCTTCGTGATGAAAGGTGCTGTAGACATGAATGTCAATCTCATCATTGAATCCCCCCTCACATGAAGCCAGGCCCTTGTTCACAGGTGACCTACCTAGTTCACTCACCTAGGGTATGTCTACACTACGAAATTAGGTCGAATTTATAGAAATCGGTTTTGTAGATAGCGTTTTTATACAGTCGATTGTGTGTGTCCCCACACAAATGCTCTAAGTGCATGTAGTCGGTGGAATGTGTCCACAGTACCGAGGCAACCGTCGACTTCCGGAGCATTGCACTGTGGGTGGCTATCCCACAGTTCCCGCAGTCTCCGCCGCCCATTTGAATTCTGGGTAGAAATCCCAGTGCCTGATGGGGCTAAAACATTGTCGCGTGTGGTTCTGGGTACATATCGTCAGGCTCCCGTTCCCTCCCTCCCTCCGGGAAAGCAAGGGCAGACAATCGTTTTGCGCCTTTTTTCTTGAGTTACCTGTGCAGACGCCATACCACAGCAAGCATGGAGCCTGCTCAGATCACTTTGGCAATTAGGAGCACATTAAACACCACATGCCTTATCCAGCAGTATATGCAGCACCAGAACCTGGCAAAGCGATACCAGGCGAGTAGGCGACGTCAGCGCGGTCACGTGAGTGATGAGGACATGGACACAGACTTCTCTCCAAGCACGGGCCCTGGCAATGTGGACATCATGGTGCTAATGGGGCAGGTTCATGCGGTGGAACGCTGATTCTGGGCCTGGGAAACAAGCACAGACTGGTGGGACCGCATAGTGTTGCAGGTCTGGGATGATTCCCAGTGGTTGCGAAACTTTCGCGTGTGTAAGGGCACTTTCATGGAACTTTGTGACTTGCTTTCCCCTGCCCTGAGGCACAAGAATACCAAGATGAGAGCAGCCCTCACAGTTGAGAAGCAAGTGGCAATAGCCCTGTGGAAACTTGCAACGCCAGACAGCTACCGGTCAGTCGGGAATCAATTTGGAGTGGGCAAATCTACTGTGGGGGCTGCTGTGATCCAAGTAGCCAACGCAATCAAAGATCTGCTGATATCAAGGGTAGTGACCCTGGGAAATGTGCAGGTCATAGTGGATGGCTTTGCTGCAATGGGATTCCCTAACTGTGGTGGGGCCGTAGACGGAACCCATATCCCCATCTTGGCACCGGAGCACCAAGCCGCCGAGTACATAAACCGCAAGGGGTACTTTTCAATAGTGCTGCAAGCACTGGTGGGTCACAAGGGACGTTTCACCAACATCAACGTGGGATGGCCGGGAAAGGTACATGACGCTCGCATCTTCAGGAACTCTGGTCTGTTTCAAAAGCTGCAGGAAGGGACTTTATTCCCAGACCAGAAAATAACCGTTGGGGATGTTGAAATGCCTATAGTTATCCTTGGGGACCCAGCCTACCCCTTAATGCCATGGCTCATGAAGCCGTACACAGGCAGCCTGGACAGTAGTCAGGAGCTGTTCAGCTACAGGCTGAGCAAGTGCAGAATGGTGGTAGAATGTGCATTTGGACGTTTAAAAGCACGCTGGTACAGTTTACTGACTCGCTTAGACCTCAGTGAAACCAATATTCCCACTGTTATTACTGCTTGCTGTGTGCTCCACAATATCTGTGAGAGTAAGGGGGAGACGTTAATGGCGGGGTGGGAGGTTGAGGCAAATCGCCTGGCTGCTGGTTACACGCAGCCAGACACCAGGGCGGTTAGAAGAGCACAGGAGGGCGCGGTGCGCATCAGAGAAACTTTGAAAACCAGTT